GTTGCCGTACAGCAAAATCTTAATCATTTGAGTTTGGCGGGTAAAACACCGTTGTCAGCCTAGTCCCTCACGGCCAAAGTAGCCGTAGTAGTACCTCGCTGTAGCGTATCTTAAAGTCCCTAATGACAAACGTCGGCTGAAAAATGGAAAATACGCGCTGAAACGTTTAATGCACAAATTTACTCTTTCATCCTATCGTACTGAAATAGCAGCATGGTGCGTAGAAATAGGTCACGTTCGATATTTCGGAAAGTCTTTTTTGAGTGTTTCTATTTTCTATTTAACAATTAGTTTATGAGCTCGAGATTTGTACGGCGTGATTGTTGACGAGGGCGCAGCCCGAGTCAACTATAACGCATTGAAATCGAGAGCGAATAATCTAATTGTTTTGGTATAAATCTACTAGTTCAAAAAGTTAGCTACATTCTCTTCACAGACAGTTCGAAAACGCAAAGAAGCGGCCGTCATTTTGTTAAAAAGCGCACACTGCTACGCCACTCACTATCTATATCTACCATCTTCTTGTAATACTTGTTATCTACTTGTAACTAATATAAATCTACTAGCGTTTTATCACGAATGCCGTTCTCTGATTGGCTACGCTACTCACTATCTATTCTGTGATAGATAGTGAGTAGTGTAGCCGTGGGCCCTTGGTAACAAAATGACGACCGCTTCTTGCCGTTTCGAAGTGTCTGTGAAGAGAATTTAAAGTTTTGAACGATTGGTAGATTTATATTAAAACACTGCGCCCGCGTCAACTATCACGCGATAGAAATCTCGAGCTCGTTATTATTATTGTTATTATTATTATTATTATTGTTATTGTTAGTTATTATTGTTACTGTTATTGTTATTATTATTGTTATTATTACAGGAGAATAGAAAGATAGTGAGGAGCATAGCCAATAAAGAACAACTTCACTACGACAACTTCTCTGTTACTATGCGTAACAGTTGACTCGGGCTGCGCCCTGGTCAACTACCGAAACTTCCGTTACTTTTGGAATTAGCAGCCTCTGGGGCTCGTTACTTCTGGGGGGTCGTTACTTTCGGGGAGCAAAAAACGTTATATAAAGTTTGTAGGACTGAGCTCTTTTTAGGAAATAGAAGATGGAAATTCGTAACAGCAGTTCTTAAAACACGGGACACAATTCTTCGTTCCAGTTTAAATCTATGTTGTTGCAATGTTGGTGGACTGTTCATGTCGATACCGTGTTGTCAGTGGTCAACAGGAAAGCTAGTCAGATGCTGTAAACTGTTTGTACTTTATGACGCACTGCTATGTTATTCTGCTGTAACAATATCTCAGTGCGATGGTCGAGATTGCTATTTAAATTTAAAGAAATGTTCCTTTTGATACCCTCTGTTGAAAATTATATTAATTTGAATCAAAGTTTGCTTTACATAGTACGTTCCTGTTACTCGACGAAAATTCTACAGGTTTGTTTTAATACGGCGCAACATTAACTGACGAAGCACGAATTGACATTTCACAACTCTCTTCGTGATAGAAGCGATACCTTTAGAGTGCCCTAAATCAGCTGACCGTACGTAACGTTCACCTGACTATTCATTGGAAAAATAAGGCCCCATTTATATGGTCTCGGGTACCCGAGACAACCCTCCCCCTGAGACAACTTTATCGAGCGTTTATATGCGAAAACGGTCTCCCTACAGGCCAAGTCAAAGTTGACCCTGCATGATTACCGTAAATCCTCGAATTAGAGCCCGGGGCGCTTATTTCAAATTTAGGAGAAGACGGGGGGCGCTTATTCGAAGGGGGCGCTAATTCGAGTTTCCCTCGGTCATTCGATCACAGTGGGTTTTGCCAAGTTAATTTTCACCTCTCTTATAGAAAATCTAGTCATTAGATTTTCTTCACAATTTGCATGCAACAAGCTTGCAACGATGCTTACAAGTTAACACTATTCCAATAATAATTTAGCTAATAGAGATCTTTAGTTATCCCTTGTTGAAGGTTCACTGGAATATCTAGACTACGAGTAGGCCCTCTTTCACTTAGTCTTTCGTGCGTGACCCGAAAAACTGCGAGAAAATGATGGCCACGCGAAATCCTGGGGGCGAGGAGCGCGCTCCTCCTTTCGCGCGCTCCTCGCCCCCAGGATTTGCCGAAAATTTCGGTATGCCTCGCAAGTTTGTCCTCTTTTCCTAAAATTCAGGAAAATGCTGTTGCACTCGTCGTTAGATATTTCCGGAAATTCAAACCGGAATTTCGTCGAATAGAAAGAGCACCAAGTCTCTTTTGGGAATTAAGAGGCAACGGAAACTTAAAAATTTACAATTTTGCCCTCAAAGCCTCGGAGCCACGTTAGAATATGACAGTAGGGTAATTACTTAAACCTTCAATACATTAATGAAACCACTTACAACATAGTATTTGCTTTAATCTACTTACAAAAATATTACTTACAGTAATATCACTTACAATATTACATTACGGTACTGTTTTTTTTTAAATACCAACTTTAAATAATAGCTTTAAATTACTTACAAATTGATTTTTTTATATACTAAAATGATCTATTAAGGTGTTGTCTTAATGTACTTAGTAGTATTCGTTATACTGCTGTCAAGTACAAAGTCACATTTCGTGAACTATAAAAACGCTTGCAGCAAATGTTTGACCTAGTGTACATTAATTCTGTAATTGTATTTACTTGGCACAAAAAGTTACAAATATTGGCAAGGATAGAAAGTTTAAAACGTTATACAATAGTAATGGCGAGGAGGCCTAAGGGAAACTGTTTCCATTATATAGAGTAGGCTTTCTCAGCGTGTAATTAATTGATAGTAACTGTTACAGCTAAGTATATGCTGCGAAGCACAGAAACGAATTACAACACTGATGGTAGAGTGTTTTCACATGACGCAACAGCAGCCATGTTGGTGTACCAAACCAATCCTGTCAGTGTGGAAGATTAATTCGTTTGTTATGTAAACGCTTTCTTACAGACCTTCAGCCCTTCTCAGCTACCTTCTGCAAGCTTGAACATACATGGTAATAGCTGAAAAGGCTACCTTGCTATCATGTGAAAACCTGACAATGTCGTTGCTGTAAATCATATGGTGTTATTATAAGACGGTTTCAAATCAGTGTCGTGACCTCAAGTTGGCAACATTGAAAACAAACGAATCAAAACTCTGACACTTGAACACAGGGGAGCATTCCGTAACAAGTTTGGGAAATGGATAACCCGGCTTCTGACTGGTCGCAGAGACAGAACCTGTGCTCCGATTGATCACAGGACCCAATCGAAAGCTTTGGCAAACAAATACTAGAGTCACTGGAAACCGTCTTGTTATTAAACTACTACCTAACAGAGGTTCAGAACCGCTTTAATATTCTCAGAACTTTTAAGTTAAAATGAAAATTGACTGATGTCTTTAGCTGATCGTAAAAGAGGGAGACGAAGGAGCAGATAACCCCGGCTACGGAAAGTTGAAACGTTTGATTCATAAAAAGGGCGAAGGAAAAAAGGTTTCTTTGCAAACTATTCTTGTCTACAGCTTGGCTTTGGCCAATTGCTATCATGCTAAAAAGAAACTGCAAAGGAGATTTCGAAACCAGTGTAACTCAACGACTTTACAAGAACGAGTTAGTTTTTGGCAACCTTGAGCAAATTCTAGAGCAACTATTGGAAGATGCTGCCAACCATCTGACAACGTTTCTCCAAAAAAAAACAAAGGTTTGTACAACTTTTCTAAAGGAGCAAAATTTCGCAACACCATGGAAAAGTTCAAGCAACTCGTGAGCAGGCCAAGCAGAGATTACAGGGGCGGCCTAAAAAAAACGTTTGCCCTCATCGTGTTCGGTAACAATGCTACTTCAAACTCGTACCAAATCACTTTGATATCGTTCGTTTTTCAAAGAATTGATTGTTTTTGTAAAGGGAAAAAACACTGAGAATTTTCAACAGCTAGATGACGGTTTATAATCTACCCATGTACTTAACTTATTTTACCACATGCTATGTAACAGCAGCCAATCACAAGGCTGGAAAGTCGATGGTGGTTTTCAGTTTGACACCAAAATGTATCGTCTCTCTCACAACTTCAAGTTCAACACATCGTCATCTTCATTTATTAATGGGGCGTACTTCAGATCAACGTGTCCATGATGAACGGTATTCACCGACCCTTGGCCTCTGTTGTGTTTCACTTTGTAGGCCCACCAAGCACAAACCAACACCAAGCAAGTAATGATAACCACGGCGAAATTGTCGATGTATATCTCTGACTTGGACGGTGATGAAGAGGAGTCTTCAAAGAGTTCGCCGATAGTTTCAGGAGGCACAACCTTGAAAGCGATAAAAATAACCTCCAAGGTGAACCCAAGAAAAATAATTTGAAAGTTGATTAAAGATTATATAAATAGGAATTTAAATCAATTATTGATAAATGAAATAATCAATCGTATCAATAACAAAATTCTCGATCGTGA